GGATAAAAAACAAAAGAGGAAAACATGTGCGGAACAAACAAAGGCATAAGGCAAGAAGTAGGACCCGTGTAAATATCGGATCAGCTTTCCAGCGCTGGAGAGAACTCAAGGAGCAGAAGGCCTGCGATCGGACGCCGAGGTTGCTTTGTTTCTTCTCGATAGGTGAGTAACACCGTGTCTGCGCCGCAACAGCTAAAGTCTATCTAGTACACTGGACGCGACAAAGCGACCGTTGAAAATCATTAGAAATTTGTGTCAATACGTCATGAATAGAATGCAGCAGCAGCAGTTTTCTGTCGGGGATTTGTCGTGCCGCACCGCATCCAGTGTAGATCATAGATATGTATATATATCTATGGTGTAGACAGCATCACTGATTATAATGAGTTCCATAGTATTTTGTCGCGCCGCGCCACTCGCGTCCAGTGTAGACACGGTGTAACATTGGTTTTGCTTTGTTTCACAGGACTAATCGTTGCCTGGGTTGCGTACGTATGTGTGGGGCGGAGCTATCAAAATAGGGGCAAGGCCCTTTTTGGGTAGGGGCGTGTATGTTTTGATGATTTCAAATTTCAACATTGGCTACCAGAAATCGCTTACCCCACCTTTAATCAGAGTTGTCCTAACCAGCCGCGACAGGGGATTCTATTTTTGTAACGGTTTCTATTTCTGCAACGCTGCGGCTGGGAACAAGAACATACAAACTATATGTCCAATGACAATCACAGTTACTGATTATGTGCTTTGTAAAACCTTAAAAGGCTTTAATTCGATTTTTAACATAAATGCGTGTGGCTTAACCATAATGAAAGCAACAATGGATAATGGAGTTCAAATCTTGGGAAACAAGAATGTTCTAACTAACCTCTGTGTGAACAAGTAAGTGTATTCCAAGACAAAGTCGCTGAGTATGTATAGTGAATAAAGTTAAAATGGATTTTTATTTTTATTAATTTGATCATGTTCTCATTTCATTGCGAGTACAAGCCTGCTCACATGTTCTTCTGATTGGCTGTGATTTGTGATTGATTTTGTTGCATCTTGTAACCATGTCGCGTCTGGAGTGGATAAACAAATTACTTTTGGCTGGAATCTTATCTCACTGCATCTGGTTAGGACACACTGTTGGAAACTCCCTGCATGCCTTAACACTATGTTTTAGCAGGTTATTGATGGATCAAATCAGATGTGAAATAACATGCAACAAGTCTGTGAAATACAACGAGACATTTTAATATATAAACACAAACATGCATGTTTAAATAGCATGCAAAACCTGTTAAAAACATTCATTAATCTACCACAGACACATTTGCATGGATGCCCGTTTCGGTCATGAAAAAGAAAGGTAATGTGACTTTCACAATTCAGCGTTTTTTCTTGTAATTCCACATTTACATCTCACTTTTTTCACTCTGAATTATGAGTTTACATTTCACAATTTGTTTCAACCATGAAATTAATAAAAAAGGTAATTGCAACTTTTCATATCACAATTCATAATTTTCTTGCAGTTGTGAATTTATATATCACCATTTGGAGTTTTTATACTTAGAATTGCAATAGAAAAAGTTTTGTAAATTGTGAAAAAAATTCACAATTGCCTTTTTTATTTTTTCATCCCATGGCTGAATCAAGCTGTAAACTCAGAATTGTGTGGGGAAAAATGTCAGATTTGTGAATTAAAAATCCTTTATTTATCTTTTTATTCTGCAGCAGAAATGGGCTTCCATACATTCGAGATTATTTTCCCAAACCAATAACTTACTGGTCTCCTGAACCCGAGCCTTGTGAATTTATATATCACCATTTGGAGTTTTTATACTTAGAATTGCAATAGAAAAAGTTTTGTAAATTGTGAAAAAAATTCACAATTGCCTTTTTTATTTTTTCATCCCATGGCTGAATCAAGCTGTAAACTCAGAATTGTGTGGGGAAAAATGTCAGATTTGTGAATTAAAAATCCTTTATTTATCTTTTTATTCTGCAGCAGAAATGGGCTTCCATACATTCGAGATTATTTTCCCAAACCAATAACTTACTGCGCCCCTGAACCCGAGCCACAAAGCCCATGAGCGGTAGCTGGGGGGTGATCTGGAGAATAGAGGGGGGTGGAGGGGCCATAGGGGCTACCCACCCCAACAACAGCGGCAATTCAGTTCAGAGAGGAAAAAAAGAAAGGGAAATGAGGAAACAAAAATAAATTGAGTTTGGGTGAAACAAAAGGAATGAAAAGAGAGGAAGTTGACAAGAAATGGTAAGTTAAAAAAGAGAGAGAGCAATCAGATCAAGCCAGTAAGACTGAACCCACTAGTGTTGTCAAAAGTACCGACTTCGGTACTGAAATTTTAAATTTTAAAAAAAATGTGCTTCAGTGCGAGTGCTCAGTGAAGAGCGTGAGGCGATGATCATTGTAGCCAATCACAGTCATATCTGTTGAGCACCCGAACAAAATGGCCAATCAGCGGTGTTTAGGAATCCGCTCATCAGTGCTCAAATGCTAGCGGGAAATGGTCATTTTTAAAATTTCAGTACCGACTGGTACCGAAGTCAGTACTTTTGACAGCACTAGACTGATTTAAATGACAAACAAGCTCCTTATCTAGTTGTATTTTTTTTCTACCATTATTTGGACACTTGAGCATGTCTAGCGTGTCTACCTTGGTTTTGGTTGTAGTGTGGCCCTCCATTGAGCTGGTTTTGGATCATGTTTGGATTTGAATTCTGAGGCATGTTGTTGGGCTGTCCAGTAACTGATGACGGCCGGCGAAAGGGCAGGGAACCTCCCACTGAGGGCGTGGTGTGCCGTGTCATTGGCCGGTTCATACTGTAAAAGTGAGGACCGTTGCCTGGGAGACAAAGAGAAAATTCATTAATAAAACTAATTCTGTCGGTTCTTCCCTGACTCACAGTACAAGATACACAATAGGCAGACCACAATACATACAACGATATATGAAATGAACTGAAAACACAAGCTCTGACCAAACCCTAGTGAGCAACCTCACTCTCTGCTACCTTCCCAGGCAGCATCCTAACTGAAATTAAACCTCATAATTAACTGATGTGGATCACAGCACATAGACAGCAGGTCTGCAAAAGTAGCATTCATGATAAATAGACAAGAGACAACTAATGCTCACAGTTAAAGGGATAGTTCACCCAAAAATGAAAAAATTCTTGTCATTAATTACTCACCCTCATGCTGTTCCAAACCTGTATAACCTTTGTTCATTTTCGGAACACAAATTAAAATATTTTTGATGAAATCCGAGAGCTTTCTGAACCTCCATAGACAGCAAAGCAACTGACACGTTCAAGGCCCAGAAATGTAGTAAGGACATTGTTAAAATAGTCCATGTGACATCAGTGGTTCAACTGTAATTTTATGAAGCTACGAGAACACTTTTTGTGTACAAAGAAAACAATGATGTAGAACGATGTAAAATGCTGATTTCTCTTAGTTATCGTATGTATATTTGGGTTCAAATAAGTAAGGTTGGGCAAAAATTGCAAGTCATCCTCTCTGTCAAAATCATCAGACATGTTCACGAAGACTTTTATGTACAGTGTGCGTCTTCCTCCAAGGCGCAGTGCATCCGGGTTCTTCTCGTAGCTTCATAAAATTAAGGTTGAACCACTGATGTCACATGGACTATTTTAACAATGTCCTTATACTATCTTTCTGGGCCTTGAACGTGGTTGCTGTCCTAGAAGGCAACACAAACCCTGTCTTCAAAATGATGCTTTAAAATACTATCTAGGTAGGCAGCTCACTAGTTTTGGGACAGAGCTATAGAGAAAAACATGACCCTCAAACCAATCAGTCCATGTAAATATGTTGGCCCATAAAAATTCCTCACTTAAATTTGTTATGAAACATCTCATCATAAAAAGAAAGACCCCAAAGTAATCCTTGAGAAGCACAAAAAGAAAGTAGAGATGGACCAAATGATGTGATGGAGACAAACGCCACAGGGAATGTAATCCAACCAACAACTGGAGCACGGATGCACAGCAAGCCAAGACAAACCAAGCCCATGCAGGTGAAGCCTGGGTGAGGTGGAGGAGGGATGAATCCTGGGTAATGTCGAGTCAATCACGTATGATCACATGCAGGCTGTCACTCAAAGATGGGCGAGTGTGGAGATGGACTTGAGGAGGGGGAGAGGGGACTCACCTTGAGCGGGGGTGCTAGTTGCAGCAGCAGGGTTGGTGTTGGTGCTAACGGGGAGGTT